AAATTTTAACGAAAATCGTTTAAGTAAAAAATTATTTAGCACAAATCTAATTTTTCAATTGTTCGTTTTAAACATATGTATTTTGCTAATTTATTATTGATGGTGAATTCATAATTGAGCGTACTGACCTAGTTTCTAAATTATAACTTTTTAAAGTTCTGACATTATGTGGATACTATATGCTATGTTAAATAACTTAATATTGTCAATATTATATTATGACTTTCGTAGTTTAGTGCTTACCTATCGTTACCTAAGATATCACGAGTTTATACTCGTGTTCCGAGAAAATTGATTGCATTTGCTTTTTTCTCTTTTACCTAAATAGGGAAAAGACAAAGGTATTTCGGGTATATCTAGAGACCCAAGCTATCGCCCGATCGAACTATTTTAATCGATAAGTACCCCTTAATTTGTGGGTCAATCTTTTCTACCAGAAGTCTTGCACCGGTATATAAAGTGTAGCTCACTTTTTGAAAGGAAATTTTATCTTAATAGTATTTTAAGGACATAATTTATTGAAACACCGGAAAAAAACGGTAAAATAAATACAATATCAAACAAGTATTATTAAAGAAAATTTTAATGCACATAATGTTATTGTTTTACCATAATGTGACCTGTATATTATTGACAAAGCAATATAATTAACTGAAAACCACTCAGAATTGTTTTTCGTTAACAATGATTAATTACTGCGTACGGATATACATTAAATTTCTTCTCTACTTTCCCTACAAATCACCTACAACAATGGCTCACCCACGTGCGAAAAATTCCCGCCTTGCTTTTGTTGGTTATGTCGTATATGTTACACAATAAATAAAGGGATCTGTTCTTAAAGAGAATGTCATCTTCTACTTAATAAAATACAAAACATGGTGTCAGATATAAAATTATAATATTAACTAAAAAGAATTGCAGTATGACGAAATTGTCGATACAACATGTGGTGCCTAGGCACTCTTGAAAACTCACTATTGAAACTCATGTCTTATTATTTAATATGCATAAAGATAAATATTTGAATACTACAAAACTTTTTCAATTTTATTATTTGTTGAAATTCAATTAAAAATATTCGTATCAATTTTATGGACTTAAAATTTTAACAAAAATTTACATTAACTATTTCTGGACATGGTGAAATTAAAAATAATTATTTAAGCTATTTTTTAGCTAATAATAGACATTTGAATACTGCGAGATTTGTACGTATAGGACAGGCTTAGTAATTCACTTTGTATATAGTTTTATTTAGTTACCTATTTTTTTTTCTGAAAAACTGTGAAGAATATTAAAAAAAAAATCACTTACTCTGTTGTGTACTAGATTCTGGCTCTAGAAAATAAAAAATTCAATTTAATTTTGAATATCGCAACTAATTTTATATTTTGCTTATTTATCTATGCAACTAATAAATTAGATATAAATATACTGGCTCTATGTAGAAATACTACGATTCAGGGTAGTATTTTTCTAAACTACAATGTCGGCTAAATTGTAGTACTGTGGTATAGTACGCATTTGATTATAACAAACATGATTAAAACTGTATGTATTTCATAATTTTTATTGTATAAGAAGTTAATTCCATTCAGAATCAAAAAAAAAAAAATTGAGTTAAATGACGGATGTATTGGTTTTACTTTGATGCTTTTTTTTTTCTTTGTTTGTACTGTGTACAAGAAATCTACTAGAAATCATACTCCAATATACAGGCTGTCCCACGAAGATATACCCTTTGAATATCTCTGAAGATAAAAATATAATCAAATTTTATTTTTTATGCTACTCACAGAGATGAGAACTATGAATATCTATATTTGAATTTAATTTTGTTTTTTTTGTAAAAATTTTATTATTTTCGAAAAATTTTAAGATAGCCCTTTTGCAGAGTTTATTTATGTTTAATGTATCACAATTTTATATCCGATGAATAATTTCAATGCCGTTTTAATATCTACATTTACAATTATGTTATTCTCTAAAATCCTTTGGTAAAATCGGTTTTCATGTGGATTAGTACAATTTAAAATGGCTGTTGGACTCTTATTGTTATTATTTTTTATGTTATTTTTTTTTGCGCAACTCTTTTACTTGAAGACATGCTCAGATTTTTAGGTGNACTTTGATGCTTTTTTTTTTCTTTGTTTGTACTGTGTACAAGAAATCTACTAGAAATCATACTCCAATATATCAACCAGCAATTTTGTTCCAATTTATAATGAAAGCAAATTTTCGAAAAATAAATTTCAATATGGATGTATTTTAGAGTCGACAATTTTCGAGTTTTACAGTTTTTTCATCAGATTTGAAAAACCGATAAACAACAGAGGAAAAACGGGAAAATGTAAGAAATTTAGGTATTGGTTAAAATATATTACGGCCTTCTTTTTTCCTGTAGATAACTTTTCTACAAACAATTTGGCTCCAATTTTCAATGATTAGAGAGGTAATTTTTCGATCTTCCCAAGAGTTTTCCTAGAAAATGTGAAAACCCAGGATAAAACATGGGAAAACCGGGAAAAACTGGAAAAATTAGTTTGAAATTAAACAATTATTATTAAGGAAAATATATAAAGCCTATTTAGTTATTTTACTATAAAATGACATAATATATATTGTTGACAAAGTATCACCATCAACTATTCAAAACTATCAAATTGCTTTTCTTTTAGATTCATTAAAAAAATCACCAAACTCAAAAATATTTTTACAAAAATATCGGTGGAATTAAACCGAACAAATTTATAGGGAATCAATAAAAACAAAAGTACCCAGAAAAAGTCATAGAAGTAAGTAATATTAATTCTACTGCTCTTCGATACTCAATGATACTACATGCCTTAATACTTTTTGAATAGACTTCGTTTAGGTTGTTAACAAAGAACTATTATCAACTGAACTCCACTCAAAATTGTTTTTTGTAAGCAATGGTTTATCATTGCTTAGAGGTATACATTAAATTATCTAAAATAATGGCTACAAATAATAACTATCCGTCCCCGTTATACTAGGACGTCCTTTGAAGTTTGTGGTTGGATTAGGTTACGTTATGTCAGGTTTATTTTTTATTAATTTTTTGCATAAACCCGGTATCATTTTATAATTGTAGTCATATGTAGTGTCGTTGCGACACCAAACCCGGGTTAATATTCAGCTATAAGTACAATATAGGAATGACTGAACGGGTTATTGTTGAAGTGGTGGTGCTCCTCCGTCTCTTGCGTCATTGGTGGTTTAAACTCATAACTTCAATAGAACTCCCTTTGTAGTTTTCCTGGTCATATTGTTTACGACTGTCACCTTGGTGAGAGCCTAGGTAGTGGTAGACGCCTCCGCCGTTGTTTCTTGGTGATACGCTATCTTCAACCGGACACGTTTTCTCTTTGGTCCATAAACACGTATCATCCGTTTGTTATGAGCATATTGCTATAGTATACAGTATAGTAGTATAAGCCTTTTGTATTAAAGCATAAGAGTATATTATTGTAGTCTATCGATAACGCCTAGTGTGTAGGCGGCTCCTAGAATATTGTAGCCATACGGCACCCGTGAGAGAGCCGCTTAGTCAGTCGAGCTACCACTTTTAAAATTGTACGTCGTCACAACGACTATTATAATAAATTACTCTTTAATTATATAATTCGACTCACATTAAATTATATTAGTGACTAAAAATCCTTAGAACTGTTTCGTTGTACTTTCTCCTAAAATTGGATCCTCACACTACCGAACAAATAAAACAACCCGTACGAGCACAACAACTGGTGGCAGCGGTGTCGCGGTCATAATTTTGGGGAAGAAACATCTGCAGAAGGAAAACTAATATATCTAATATATATCTTTTCGAGGTAATTTTTATTTCTCTTTGCAAATATTAAAACTACTTCGTTCGTCGTAGGTATATCGTTATTAGAACCGTTTTATACGAGGTGGTATATAAGTCACTATCGTCAAATTATACGGGCGTTTATGTGTTGTTAACAACGCGCGCACCGTCTATAGTTGGCAGGCATTGTATTCGACTTTGTGTTCTACTCTTCACATCTCCATCATCGACGTCGTCGCCGTCACTGTGCTGTTATCATCATCGTTCTCACCGTCGACGTCTTTGTGATACTGCGTCATCGTGATTGCCGCCGCCGTCGTGATAAACTGTTACGCCAACGCCGACGCACCATGGTATTAATTATGTGGATAATATTGTAAGCTAACTACTACTACTGAATATTATTTATTTTTTTTTTTTTTAACGTAGTATCAACAGATATAAGTATAAGACGTTGTCATTATTATTATTATTACTATTAGTATTGATGTAAACTATTATTTTGATATTAGTAGCGGTATTGA